GCATTTCGAGATCAAATATTTTCCATCGTTCCCAACGAGCCATTGCTCTCATAATCATGTACGTAATATGCTTTACTTTTTCAATACACAAGCCATATGTACGGGGGCAAATCATGTATTGTCGTCACCGTTCCCGGATTGAGGGCGTGGTGAGCGGCACCACAGAATAATTGCTCAGCACGGATTCAATCTGGGTTATCAGGTCGTGGTCGTTTACCTCGTCTAAATCATGCGTCGCGATAGTCCTCTGGCCGAATCTGGTGCGAGTACCGGATAGTCCTCGTAGCTGTGGCTCATCCAACGACCCAATAGATTAATTTCCAGGCTATCCGCTTCTCCACTGAGCAGCGCCGATGCGCCTCCGATGCGAACCGAGTGGGTTGCATACTTATCGGGTGAAACGCCTACGTTCAACGCCAGGGTCTTGAATGTCCATGTCACTTCTTCCCCCGTAAGATTCACACACAGGTACTTCGCAGAACTGCATCCAAGCTCCTTCCTGGCTTGCTGTAAATGATGCAGGGCCTTCGTGGAGCAGAACACCTTGTCTCCTGTGGCATGCATAGTTCTCCACGCTCCGCGTCCAAATTGATCGTTCTTTGCGCCCGCTAATCCGATCGTAACCGCCACCGCCTTCTTGTAGGGAACGCGTTCCCCCTCTCGACTGGAAAAGTACGCGTTGGAAACCTTGAGATAGAACGCATGTCGACCCGACTCGACTAGCAAATACTCCGAACGTCGCAGTAGGAAAAAGTATGCCAATAAGACGGCTCCCCACAATAAGCGACTGCGGGGCCGAGTGAAGTCGAGGCGCCTGGAAAGTAATCGGTAAAACGCCTGTGTAATTTGGTGCCTTTTTAATAGCGGATCCGATAGCCTTTGAATGCCGCGCATGAGAACGTCGAAATCTGGAGAATGTTTGATTTTGGTGCCTGCGTATGTCTTGTGGTACCACCGAATGCTGGGCAACTTCAGTTGAATGGTTCCGTACTGGTTACCACGTTGTTTTGTGTGCCATCCGTAGCACCAACAGTATATCGCAAACAGTCCAAGCTTAGTGCTGTTGTCCTTCTCGTCCGTCGAGAGCCATCCGACCACTTCATGTACCGAGCGAATTTTCGCCACTGCTCCCAGTGGACTCGATAGGTAGTTCTGGTAGTGCTGGCAATGGCGCTACAGCGCAACACTGATCCCAAAGTCGAGAGAGATTCTCGTAAGGCGGCGGCACCGATACTCAGACGACCAGTTAGTCCACGATTTATATAACGAATGGTCAGTGCTCCAGGCTCGGGAACCCGCATCTGCCATCACGTTCTCCACTCCAGGCACGTGCCGTGCCGTGCACACCAGAGAATACTGAAACTCCGCTAGCGAGAGAAGACGGTTGTAGATTTGAGCCAGCGGCTGCCTGCTGCACTGCCTCTGTGTCCATGATACTGCGCTTGCATTGTCTATCCAAAAGCATACGTGAATCGGTCTGCGGTCGAACTGCTTTTCCCACACCGGTCCCCAAATAAGAGCTGCGAGAACTCTACTTTGTAACTCTCGGACGTTAATCGAATTAGTCGATGCATCGTTTCG